GTGAAGTTTCATTGTGTGTGGAGTAAACAATTAGCCAGGAAGGTTTTAAGTATGATCCTCCAAGCAAAACATTTACTGAATAAGTGAATGGCTACAGCCTAAGATTAAACATAATAATAATAATAATAATAATAATAATAATAATAATAATAATAATAATAATAATAATAATAATCACTTCTGAATGTAACACAACCCTTTTTCCAAGTGCACTTGTGTCATCCTCAAGTTGATAACTCTTATGATCCTTGTCCAAAGCAGTTACAAAATGTGAAATGGATGGTTACAGCGTTTTGTTGAAATGAATCAAATAAACATTAAATATTAACAATTAAATTTAAAAAACACAATAAAACAACAACGCTCTCGAAGCCTGTAACAGACGCACATGCCTAAGCATGCAAAGAAATAACAATAAGCACAAAGTAATTAAGACTGCTCTAGGACATAAGCCAATGAACATCAAACATTAAGAAGCCCTTAAATGCAGCATAGGAGACATAAAGTTGTTTAATATATTTTAAATCGTTAATGATAATAGTCTAGATATTAGGTATTTAAGTTAATTTAAGAATTTGTTAATTTAACGTGGCTTCCGATTCTCTTCAAGGTGTCCCGAAAGTTTCGTCGATTAACGTGGTTTCTGATTCTCTTCAAGATAATACACCCGAGTTTTGTTTTGTTTCGTTTTTGGGGTGGGGGGGGGGGCGTTTGCTGCTTTTGTTTTATATTTTGCATTTTAGCTCATAGTCTATTACATCTATTTTAAAAGAAAGTATGGATAAACATACTGCTGCCTTATAATATTAGTATATTTGAATAATGTAGTTATTTTTGGTTTCGTTTCTTTCTTATTATATTTCATCAGAAAACAACACACAATTTATTTAAATAAATTTAAAAAAAATTTTTTTTAATGGATTATTTCAAAGGTCAAATAACGGTAATAAAACTGTTATTGTTTAATTTCATTATTTTTGAAAAATAGTCTGAATGGAGAAGAAAAAATTTACATCACAGTACTAACAAAAATTACACAAAGAGGAATACACAAAAAAAAAGATCAAAGTAAGACAAGGTAAAAATAACCACTCATTGCTTGAATAACAAGATAAAACAAGGCCTGATAAAAGTAAAAAAACAGAATTGACTAACGAAAAAAAAAACGGCGATTACCAAGAACATAATTTAGAAGGACAAAAAATGTCTATTTATTTTATTCTTTTTATTTTATTATTATTATTTTTAAATATTTAACAGTCATACAACGTGTTATATCACGACGCAATTCTAGAAAATGTGTTTTAACAATAAAAGCAACAAAAACGTATCTATATACAAATGCTTGTTTTAGAATTGATATTCTATTCAATTTTGCTTTACTTTATTTTAAAATGAATTGTAGTAATTAAAAAATATTATTGTTTTTCAATGAGGCAATATAACAAATAATTGGTTCCTTGACTAAATAAAAATTATTTTCTTACAAAATTCGATATAGACCTAACTATAATCGGATTCAGCACCCTGGTACTAAAAACACCACAGCAAAAACAATAATGTCTTTTTGTATTGCTTATGGACAAGTCAATAACTGAATCTTGAATCTTGTGATTCCGGAATAAAAGTTGAATTGAATTTAATTGAAAAATTGAATTGAATATTTCCTTGGTTTATAATTACATAATTATGTTGTTGTAATATAACGGAGGTACAATGTATAGTATTATTTATGTTTAGGCCATGGTAATACAGCTGGGGTATGCGCGACATCTGTACCTTATTGGAGTACAGTACCTACATCAGGATACATTGCAGTTAAAATAAGCCTACGCTTGTCTATAATTTTCTTTTTTGTTTACTATACTGTTGTGACTTATATCGGTGGATATTGTCCCATGATGTCTTTCTGAGGACAATAATACATATTTAATTGGATTAAATAACAATGTATTTAACAATAACACATATTCATTTATGACAGGAAGCAGTATTATGATACATTTACTATCAAATAATTCGTCGCTCACATCACGAACTAACACAATTAAATTCAATTGTGTTTAGTTCGTGAAATCAAAAAAGCGCGTCAAAATACGCGCTGTTGTCGTTAAGGACTTTTTGTGTGGTAAAGAATACAAAATTTCTTGACAACCAATACGCGCTCGTTTTGACGCGCTACCGTGATTTCACAAACTAACACAATCTACTTTGATTGTGTTAGTTCGTGATGTGAGCGACGAATTCGTCCACTGCTCAACTTTCACCTGGAAAGGATATGTTACAAGTTTCATACGAACAAATATAATTGTTGTCATATATCAATCACCTTAATTCATGGACAATACACCAATATTATGCCTAAGTCCTGGTCGTTGCATTACTAGATACTACCAACAATGATTTGATAGAATTAACGCTTTACCAATAGCTATGCCATGAGGTTATACAAACAAAAATACGTGTGCTCTGGGGAAAAGAAGCAGATTTAGGGAAGTCCCCGGTGGACGATTAGTACAACAATAAGAAAGTCACGCTTTATTAACACTCTCATTCGATTATGCTAGAAATGATATTCTGTATTTTAGATCTAGAAAATCACTGAAGAATGTACACAGAGGAAATGCTTCCATAGCCTAACTGTAAGATAAAAGCCTCCAGGCCTTAGCCCATTAAATACGGTATAATTTTCATAATAAGCAATATAAACACGCTCTCGTAAAATCACTCAACCTTCCGTCATAGATGTTGGTACGTTAATTTACGTGTATGTAGATAAATTTAATTAAGTCTCTTTTTTATTTAATTTATTCCACTATAGCAGGTCATTTTACCTAATTGTACTAGGCACAATTTTCACTCGGTGTCACATGGATGTTGGCATCTGTGAATTCGGCGCAGAGAATAAATCGATATTTTATTTTAGTTATTTATTTATTTAGCGCACATGCAACAATGATAGACAACAGCGAATATATATCACTGTCCTAGTTGTAGGTGACGATCCCTTACAACATAAATAAACGATCCTTTAAACAAACTAAATCTCAATGTGAGGCTTTAGGGACTAGAGTTGCTTTGGTCGTGAGAAAAATCCTGGAACATTGACATGAATTGAATCCAGGACCCCGAAATTGGAAGACAAGCATCTTAACCACCAACCTATTCAACTCCATCACACAGTTTGGACATTGGCCCCGGGTCAAAAATACTGGACAGCGTTGAAAAGATATCCTATAGGCCTAATATCACACGTTACTATATGGAAATAATTCGTCGCTCACATCACGAACCAACACAATTAAATTCAATTGTGTTAGTTCGTGAAATCAAAAAATCGCGTCAAAATACGCGCTGTTGTTGTTAAGGACTTTTTGTGTGGTAAAGAATACAAAATTGCTTGACAACCAATACGCGCTCGTTTTGACGTGATTTCACGAACTAACACAATCTACTTTGATTGTGTTAGTTCGTGATGTGAGCGACGAATTTATCTATTTGTTTAAGGCCTAATTCGGCGATAGGCAGCAAGCAAATGCCAAGCTAAAGAAGGCACATACGGGTAGACATTTGGGAAAATGTCCACGGAAAATTAAGGAAAGGTGCTATAACACACTCGTAAGGCCCATTGCTGAGTATTCTGGCTGTGTCTTCTGGCTGTGTCTGAGATCGGGCAGCTAAAAGGCATACAGAAGGTAGAGTCATTCCAACGACGTGACGGGAGATTATTCTCGCAGAAGTAGTGTCAATCGTATGCTGGAGGAGCTAAAATGGGACACTTCACAAACAAGGGAGATGTACGTCCATGGTTACAATGATGTACAAAATCGTCAACGGGCTTGTGGATATCCCGCATACTAATCTTGTGCAGCCTCGTCAGCCACCAGAGGTTCAGAATGCCTAAATCAAGAAATAAAGGTGTTCTTTCCAGACACCATCCGTCTGAGGAACTCACTACCCAAAGAAGCTGTGGAGTCAACATCACTCGGGGAATTCGTGAACCGAGTGTCAGAAGTTGACCTTGCTCGAAGATATTAGAATTACAGATTAAAATATAATATATATATATATATAAAAATTAAAAATAAATAAAAATACGCTTGAATAATTACCAAAAGATTTTTGTAAATATGGAACATAAGATTAAGGAAATCAGGAAGCTCAGCTGCAGCAACTGTGACCAACCCACATGTGTGACTAAACTCAAACGATATTCTGCACAGTAAAGGATGATGATGATGATGATGATGATGATGATGATAGGTAGACATAGATACAAGGATATCTTGGATTTAGGCCCGATAATCGTTTGCTTGTAAAAATGAGGAAAAAACATACAGATGCGGGAAAATAATTATAAATGTGTTTTCATAAATAATTTGTCATAATTGCACGTGTATTTTCTGTTTACATTGCCTGTAGGATTAACTTATGTCATTCAATAATGCTACAGGGAGAATGCGTTTCATGATTTAGACAATTAATACTAACTGACGTGGATAAACATAGCTTACTCAAACCACAGCGTTCTCAAGTACTCAGGCATAGAAGACCTGCATACACGCAACAACAAATTGAAATTTTACTAATAAGAAACTCGTCATTAATTAACTAGGACGCAGCTTAGCCTGTAATTAATGTCCCGGATATTGAATATTTACGTACCGCATTCACCACAGTCCCACAAGTCCAGCGCTCCGGTCAATGAATGATCACGTTGAGACAGGTCCCCTGTTTACTTTTCTTGTGAATCATGCATAGACATGGATGGACACGTTGACAAACATAGACTTATATACAGAATTTAAAACACATTATGTATTTTAAAAAAAAACAAAAAAAACCCCTTTTTTTTTGTAGTTTTGCTTGTGTGGAGCATCCTTGGAAAATTGTGGCAAGCTAAACGGGCAAACTCCATTTACGGTTTGCCCTCTTAGCGTTCCATAGAACGGTTTCATTTTTTATACATTTTAAAATATTATAACAAACAACATAAAGGCCTAATTTTTATTTGTTATTTTATTTACTTTTATCTTATCCAATAGCGAGAGACTATTTACGTGATGACTAACAATACTGTAATATAATTATTAAAATAGTGATTTATTTCCCATTATTATAGTAACCCTTAACCTTTGCAGTTACTACAATTAGCTTTAACTGATAAATCTGTAGATGATCAACAAACATCAAACGAAATAATATAACTGAGATGTAACCACTTTTAAGGATAATCGAGATCAACACAAATATTTTTGTATTCTAGCCAATCATTAAATTATATGATCTGCTAATTTAGTAGCGACAACCACAACGATAGTAATTAAAACACAACCTTTAATTACTTATACTGTACCAATCTGTATGAATATCTCTAAATTCAACGATTGCACACATTTGTAGCATTCGCGAGCTTTCGACAGTCAATAAAACTTCGCTTACTTTGAACACACCGCCAATAAAATATAATGCAAATTTAGTTTGACAATAGGGGGCGTTATTTAATTTTAAATAATCTCTGCTGAGATAAAACCATCTTCCAACCAGTCTTATTTAATCCTTATTATTTTAAATGTAGAATATTATACAATCAATATGCCCCATGGATTATTATCTAATAGAAACACAAGAAGAATAATGTCCTGCCACAAAACGAACTAGTAAATCTAAAATGAAAAATTAAATTGCTTATTAAAAATAACACCATAGGCATAAGTTTTAGTATGTAACAGATGGGGGGGGGGGTCAGGGATTTTTTCTTTCATATGAAAAACAGTTGGCTAAAAATGTAAGTGTAGGCCTATATGCAAAAACACAGAAAAAGTATTACTTAAACGTAACATACTGACAAGTACATTTTGTCATTCGTTCTATGTTTCATTTGAAAGCAAATCACTTACAGAAACATATAAAATAGGCAATAATATTTTTTATGATAACATTATAATAGATTTAGATGACAATATATTTTAAAGTTGAAATTATAGGCCTACTTATGTTGTCATAACATAAATATTGAATCATGCTGAAGTTCATTCGTAACAACTCAAATGACAAATGTTTACAACAAAACAAAACCAATATAAATAAGTGATTATTTTGGTTTTATACCATACTTTGTCTAAAATATGAATGTCATTGTCCTAAGAAGCGGATAAGTAATGTAAAAAATGTCCGTGATTAATGTCCTGCCTTAGAACTGTATTCGGGTGGGCATGATTATCTTACGCTTCAAATCATGTTAGTACTGAGATCAATTATCCACAACATAAGATTTAAAATAAGATCAACCAATAACATTCAATTACGATATAAATAGATCACGGCGCTGCTATTGTGTTAGTTTCATGAATGCCCAATTCGTTAGAATCGGGGTGATTTGTGTTTATCTCGGCATGTTCTTTCGTATTCCACTCATTTTTTTTTTCATTTTCAACAGCGCATGGTTCGCTAATTACAAGATGGAAGTGATATTTAGTCCGTGTCTCAATACTAGGATTTGAATCTATTTTCAAATTGTGAGAAAAATATCATGGTTTTAACAGTAGGACACACGACCTGCTGGGAAAACCAAGCATTATAACCACCCGCTATGGCCCCACTTCCATTAATCAATATGTAGATATATTTTCCATCCAGACCTCAATTAACATCATTTAACTTCTACTTTTTAAGTTGAATGTTAGTTTAAAAGAATCTTAAGTACAATCTATAAACAGTACTTGGAAAGGCTATTGAAAGAAATTAAGCAATTGCACCACTATGATTTATACACGTTCGTTTAATCCCGAATTTTCTACCTTAGTGAGCATAGTTTTAACTTTATCCAAGATCTCGACTGGATTTACAATCAATCTCTCAGGTTTGACAAACTTAAACTCTAGTTCCATTAAAAGCTTATCTATGACATCTTTCAATCTTCGTAGATCAAACACAAGGTGACGCCGATCGTTTGACAGTAAACATCGTCTCAGATCCATCTTACAATTTGTCTCCCAATCAACTTCATCTTCAGAACGCAAATCTCGAATGCCATCATCATGACCTTTATTCGCTTGAAACTTCTCGACTTTCTCTCTTTCCGGTAATCTATCAGCGGAATTATCCCTATGAACTGACAACGCTCGCCCCTTATTTTCTGGGTCAGAACAGCCGTCAGTTATCGAAGTTTCGTTAAATAGTTCTTTTGCATCGGAATTGCTCTCTAGAGAAACGCCCAATTGTACATAGTGCTCAGCTCGTATATCATTTCCATTAATAATGTTTCTGCGTTTATCTATTTTACGATTCTCAAATTCATCAGAGTACGTATGAGGTACATCTGACATAGGACTCAGTTCATATTGCGTCAGTAGTTGTGAAAGAAGTTGAATTCTCGGCTCGGCGATCGTAGTGAGGAACTGTGAAAATTCAGCATAATCGATTCCAGTATTGGCTTTCATTATAACCTATAAGCAATACAAGCATAAAATCCATGTTTCAGCAATTATTTTATTTAGCAATTCATTTTTATAAAAAAAAAATCATATATGTAATCAAAACATACTGCAATATTATATTAAAGACAGGCTCCGGAGGAAGAAATATGTTTTGATATGTTGTAAAACTGAGTTTTTTTTCTACGACATAAAAAGGGTGTTTGACGAAAAACTAGGGAACGGTTAATGAGATACACATTTTTGAATATTTAAAAATTGGGAAAAGCCTAGTTTTCTTAAAATCGCTACACTGTCGCTAAAGTGTATTCAGTACAACTGTTGTACTGCGTGGCAGTCCCAGACGCAATTGGGAAGTCTCCCCGATTTGACCAACCAATCAGCATCACCAAGAGCGGTCAGCAATAACTTGTAGCGATTGTATGGAAACCAAGTTAACGAGGTGAAAAAGGTGGTTAGGACCTTCCCCCGTGCCTTTTTTAGATATTCAAAAATCTGTAGCTCATTAACCGTTCCTGAGTTTTTCGTGTTTTTTTTTTTTTGTTTTTTTTTTTTTTTGTCTTAAAAGTTTAAAAAACAAATCCTCTAGAGCCTGGCTTTGAGATGGCAATCTGCTTGTACAGGTCTTATATTTAGTGTGTTTACTTATACAGAGACAACATCCCTCACTCAGTTAGCAATTCGTAATTGATATAAAGGGTGGTCTAGTCGATCGAATATTACATCCATAAGCACTGCATGAAATATTTATTTGATTGTGCAGTCAATAATTGACGCTAATGTCAAAATCAAAAAATGTTGATTGCATGTAGATACGTAACGAAAATCCTAAATCAAAAGAGTATTTTGAGAGCTGCAACTCCAAGCATTATAAAAAAAAACTACACTCGATCCCTGCACAACAGTTCATTTGGATTTGAGTTTCCCATGTTTTCGAACCAATAAATTGTAGCCATTGGACTATAAATTACAGGTATCTTTATTATTTAAATAGTGTTTGATCGGACTGCAAAATACAATGCAACATTGTCAGATTTCCACCAGACATTATGCAAAAGATACGTTTGAAACAAACATACCGTATTAAACCAAGCCTGATTAACCAGTAATGTCAAAACAGGTCCCGCTTTCCATTTTATTAAATTGTATAGGTCTGAGAGAGATGTAACCCCATATATTAAAACTTGCTAGCTCCGTTGGTGCTGATAGAATTTGTGATATCAGGGAAAATGTTAATATACATATTACGTCAAGGTTTAAACTTACCTGACACTGTTCCTCCCACTCATCCATCTCCCTGCAGTCACTAATAGATCGCTTGACTGCCAATAGTTCGGTCTGTAGGAAGTTCCAAACAATATCTATATTGCAGCCGTTAAACCAGTTGTGGTTGATAGATATGGTGTCTTCCTAAATTGGCAACCATGTAAAATACATCTCTTCAATTATAGTTAGTATAAACATCATACAGATGGGAGACATGTGTGGGAGAGGTTAGACTGAAGAAATGAAACAGAGTGGAAGATCGGTGCGAATGAGAAAAACGGTAAAGTTGACATTGAGGAAAGTGGGGAAAAAGACGCCAGAGAAACAGGAGGGTGAAAAGTGAGAGGAAAGGAAGAATCAGGGAAAAGAAAACTATCAGAAGAAAGGGGAATACAATCAGAGAAGTAGATGAAATGATACAGCTATAGAAATGGGAAGGCAGCAAAATGGGAAAGGGGAAAAGCGGATAGGATTGGGAAAAGAAGAAATTACCTGGTTCAATTCCGTATCAACCTATCAACTATATTTTTTATAATGCATTAGGCTGATATTTTTTATTACCTTTTTTCATATGGTAACACAATCAGTAATTAATTATCTGTAGTTAATATGATTGGTTCGTTTAATGCCAACACAGTACAAGTTTAGAGATTAGGTAATAACGAATGAGAATGATAACATTCGTTGTTGTAAATATTTACTAAAACATTTTAGAAAATAGCTACACATCTCAGGGATGATTTTTCACTTCCAAAACACAATTTTTGGCAAGTATTTTACGATTGGACCAGTATTCGCTAGTAACTAGGTCACGTTAAGCAATCAACTCACTGACGCCCCAGTCAATTTTACCGGGGTCAATTTGGCTGGGGGGACGCCTAAGGCCCCCCCCCCAGTTGGGGGAAGCCACGGACATTTGACGAATTATGGCGAATTCTTATTACTTTTTTGATAGGCATGGAGCTACTATAATATGACTTCATGTATTTTTTCTGAATCCGAAATCGGCTTCCAAAACCCAAACATTTTGAATAAAACAAGAAACAAAGAGTATGCAATGTAACCATCTAATTTATTTTCAAAGTGAAATTCTACATTTTGGAAGTTTTGCATGAAATCTGTCAACCACGCTGTCAAAGTTCGAGGTTGCTTCCCCTATTACGATGTATTCCAAGCATCATGAGGCTATCCAAGCGAGCATATGTCATAACAGAATGCAAATCATTTTCCATTAGTCTCATTGAACTATAATAATAATAATAATAATAATAATAATAATAATTATTATTATTATTATTATTATTATTTATATTATTATTATTTATATTATTATTATTATTATTATTATTATTATTACATGTGAATAATTTTGTTTTAAATTTATTTATTCCCCGACAAAATTTATATAATATACTTGTCTTCCCGACGGGGGGTGGGGGGGTCTATAGCCCCATCAGCCACCTATAGCGCCACCACTTCTTACTATACATTTACAAATTAAAACAACAAAGGCAAAAGCACACGAATAATATAGAAGTAAAAAGTTACTTAAATTGCAAGATAACTATAAAAAGTCTAACTTCATAGGAAAGACAAACAAAAAACTTTTACAACATTATCATTAAACGAAAGAATTACAGTTACTTATAATACAGTTTAGAAGCTTTAGATAACACTGACCTACATGAGCCTAGATGTTACCAGTCATTAGCGTTATTGTGTTCATCTCGGAGAGAGATTAAAGCAATAAAATTTTAATGGTACTAGTAAATATTTACTAGTATTAAGGGAATAAAGTAGAAGTTGAATTAGGTTCATCTGGTGTGAACTATACATAATTAAATACCGGGTCATGATTGCTAATGCTACGTTCTACTTATAAACTTAACTTTTGTTACCGAACAGGTATATGTGGCTTTATTTTTATTACAAAATACAACTTTTTGGTGATGTTTTTTCCATATTATTAAATTTCAACTTATACCCCTTCAAAAAAAAAAAAAAACAAAACAAAAAACTTCTCACGACACAAAATATAAGATGTCTATTGTAATAATCAAAACTAGCAGCCTCTGTATACATTGCCCTTGCATATTCAGCAATATTAATAAAAACACAAAATCATTTTTGTATAAATAATTTGAGTTTTTATAAAGGATTGCCTCGATATATTGAAGCAACACAAGAACACACAACATGAAATTGCACAAGAATGAAAAAAAAAAAATGTATGAGATTATTATTTTTTTAACTACTGCAGCCTATAATTTTCAAATGTTACAAAAACATCGTTGGTAGCTCAACTTACACTATGCATTGGTAGCTCAACTTACACTATGCATTACGACTTCTTTGGATTTTCTTCATCTGGTAAACACTGTGCGTAGTACTGATGGATGGGCCATCCTGAATCTATTGATTTTAGACCTTTAATTATCTATCATGTCATGGCTCATCTGCTTCTAGTTAACACAAACAGTCAAATTAATATGTCTATCGAAATAACCGGACAATTTGTCAAAAGATGTTACGAATCCGTCTTCTTCCTTTCATCACTCCATCTATTAATGCACATTAATTTGTCCTTAAGTTATCAGTATGTTTGCTGGAAACGCATATAATCTTTATTCCCTCCATCTCGGAAAATCGTTTGTCATTTACTGAACTTCAACATTTGTACTTCTATTCATTTATCATGTGCGTTAATCAAATAAAGATTTGTCATTAATCATTACTATCATTAACTTCATTAATCTCTTTGGAATGTATTGGAGAATTTGGACAGCAATTGTGATATGATTGCAAAATAACATTTACTGTTAAATATTTGGTCATTATGTCACGCATACATTTAAATCTTGCCCTGGGGTATACGATTTGAAAGATTGGAAAGAGAGAAGGAAATACAGAATAAAGATGCAAGCACAAGATAGGATCACGGGTATGGTACTCCTCTTTCAAATCTAGAATCTAGTTTCAAGACCTTGCTAAAACTACCATCTTAATATTCATAATGTTAGCATTCTTTTGGGCCCAAAGAAAAATATTTGCTTTATCTACAACTGTCCCTTCATAATAATGTACTTTTATTATGTAATTGCAATAAATTAGTTGGTCAAATACACAGGCAGTGCAGTGAGTTTAACCAAACAAATCAAGAATATCCAGGCTGCTTTTTTTCAGCCTGCGAACAGGTAGCTCGTTTCTAAGTGTGCTACCAGCGCACACATTGCTGAACTTCTACACAGAATGTATCCATGGTTACACTAACTATGCATGCGCAAAAGCTTGTTATATTTGTTTGCGCATTATATTGAATGTATAAACGTTACCTTTCTTGGTCAAATTTAATCCAATGCGAACAAGGGTTTATGGATCATCAGTTTTTTCACTATTGTAAGAGAAAGTACAACTCATAGTCTTTTCTGTTATGCTTTCCTTTCCCCACAAGAGTACATAATTATAATATTTCAAGACCTTGCTAAAACTACCATCTTAATATTCATAATGTTAGCATTCTTTTGGGCCCAAAGAAAAATATTTGCTTTATCTACAACTGTCCCTTCATGATAATGTACTTTTATTATGTAATTGCAATAAATTAGATAAAATATACATAGTTCATGTTTATATATTGTATATATTGTTTGTAAATTGTAATGTGAGCACTGTATTTCCATAATAGAGGAATAGAATTTTTCTTCTAGGAGCATTGATGTTATCTATTAATATCCATTCTGTTTTTGGCTTTTCTAAAGTCCTGTTCAAATTGATTTTTTTTTGGAGAAACTAACCTGGTTATCTTGACCAATAAACTAATAAAGTGATAACAACCTACACAACATTCTTCTTGGTCAAATACACAGGCAGTGCAGTGAGTTTAACCGAACAAATCAAGAATATCCAGGCTGCTTTTTTTCAGCCTGCGAACAGGTAGCTCGTTTCTAAGTGTGCTACCAGCGCACACATTGCTGAACTTCTACACAGAATGTATCCATGGTTACACTAACTATGCATGCGCAAAAGCTTGTTATATTTGTTTGCGCATTATATTGAATGTATAAACTTTACCTTTCTTGGTCAAATTTAATCCAATGCGATCATCAGTTTTTTCACTATTGTAAGAGAAAGTACAACTCATAGTCTTTTCTGTTACGCTTTCCTTTCCCCACAAGAGTACATAATTATAATATTATGAGTCTTGTCATTTTGAAATATCATTCATAGAAAAGTACATACACTATTGACCCCATAGCATATGTCTTGTACTGTTATGACATAATGAACAAAATGAATGACCCCCTATAGTAAACCTGTTCACAGAAGCATGTATGGGAACATTGATTCAAGTAAGTGACATTCTTAAAAAATTCAAATTATATCTTTGGTTGGCCAATATTAACACAATCACCTTCCAGTACAAAATTTAAGTATTCTGAACTCTCAATCATTTGATTGGCTGTGAAGCAGTGTATAGGACCATTTATATTGATGAAGAAATGTGGCACAGTGGCAAACCTTAGGGCTTCCTCCCTTTACTGGTTGGCCACTTGACCACTCCATAGGTGTTAGAATCATAACTAGGATAGTGTAAAATGCATAAAGGTCATTATTATTTTCATTACCATTATCATTATCATCTTTGCATTACAATTACCATTATCAGTATCATCCTCATTCGTCTACCATTAGCATTTATCACCATCATCATCATTCATCAACCAATAGCATTACCATTATCATTGTTATCTAGATGTGCTTGCTTTAGTAAGTTTCATTGTACCACAGACCATATAGGGTCTTTGATTGTATTGCGTGTCTGGCAATTAGCCAATGATGAATATCAAGACAATGCTTAAGCTCGGACAAGACTATCAAATTTTATATGACAAAATCATGTGACATGCCTAAATATAGTCATCACATCACATCATGACCATATATAGGCACATCATGAATATGTATGGGCATACTACAGTTTTTTTGTCAAATAAAATCTGATAGTGTTAAGCTTTAGAGTGCTTTTTAGGTAATTAAAAGTGTGTGTGGGGGGGGGGTGGGGAATATGT